CCTCACCAGCCGGGATTCCGATGGTCGCGACCTTGCAATCCGAGCGGCGCGATAAACCTGTTCGCTGGAAGAAGGCGCGGAAAGACGGAACGGCGCGCGGACAAGGGAAGAACAACCCCCGGGCACGAGCGCGTGCTCGCGGCGAATGAATCGTCGCGAATTTATCACGACGAAACTCGAGGCGACGAGCGACCGCTCCCCTACTCCTCGGCCGGCAATTAACGCGCGTGATTTAGGAGCGCGCGACGCGAGTTTTAAACGTCGCCGGTCTTCCTTCCCGCCGTCCACGCTCCCTCGCGTAATTCCGCGGCCATATCGCCGGAGCATCTTCCTCGTTTTCGTTTCATTCTTTCCCCCTTTTATGGATTCTCTCAATTTGTTCTATTTCATTCGCTCCCGTTCGGCCGCATTCCGTTTCCTCGTTACGTCTCGCCGCGCTCCATTCAGATCAGTCTTGCCCGCGCGCCATTCAAGCCTGGCTTAGCTGCCCGGAGACCGTGTTGCTCGTTTTCGCCGGGCCTCGCAACGATCTGATAATTTAGGCTCAGCTCGCGTGCACGCGGTTCGTTTTGTTCACCGTTTTGCTCCTTTCGACGCGATGAGTTTATTAGCAACCCCTGCCGCGCGGGGCGTTCCGACTTATTCGCGAGTGCTCCGCCGTTTCCGTGCCACGTGGAACTTCGTCCTGGAAATTGTGGACGCGGTGATCTTGTATAGGGAAAAACATATTGATCGTTTGACGAATGAAGAAATGTAATTTCTCGTTGTAGAGTAATTCTGTAATTTTGAAATTAGCTGACGGATTTATTTGCGTTTAAACGGATGGACTCTATTTGAGCGGTTGGTTTCTGAAATTTTTAAATACTACAGTGCATATGCTTGGCAAATAGGATTGACATTTCAGATCTCGCATTTGAAACGCTGAAATCTCCGCAACTCCGAAATAATAGCTGCAATTTCTTGCACTGAACATTCCCATTGAACTCGCAGAAGTCGAGAAGCGGCCGTTCTCCCGCAGGTTTCGAGAAGTCATCGATCCCAGCAGACGCATCCTTCGAATTCCCTCATTCAAATAACTCTCTCGTTGGTGGTTTTGACGGTTCCGACAGTTGAAATTACACGTTCCGCTGCGGGGTTGCGTGCGCGCCGAGTAAATCAGGTAGGATGCGATTACAGCGACTACTATTAAACTATTACTAAGAAGCACCGCAGTGCAGGGGCCGAGCATTTTGTTGTCGACCGCGACGCGACTCGCTGTCGGCTACAAAGGAACCGGGATAATTGGGCTCGTTTCTCATCGCTGCCCTTCTCCGGGCACATTTCGCGGGACACATTGCGCGTGACGCGTATCCCGGGGACGCCTGCAAGCCGTTTATGCGAGCACCGTCCGCCCGAGGAGCGCGTTTTACAACGAATAGAAAAGAATAGGGGGGGGTTCTCGAATGTCACCGATGCACAAGAAACGATGAATCGCCAGAATTCCCAGCGTATTATTAAACTCCGCGTATTTCATTCCTAAAGGGATCGTAACTCTGTCTCCCGTGGGTCTATTCAGGCTCGTTCTTATTATGCAAAACTACGGCGCCGACACGCCCACCATAACGAATCCAATTTAACGCACGCTAAAGATCGTGAGTGCCTAGCGCGCGGCCGGTCCGATAGCGTGCTTTTATATTCAATTTATTAGTCGTGAAAGCGACTACTTTGGCCGAGCGGTTTATGGACGCCCGTTGCACCGGCGTGCTTTGTCAAATTCGAGGGTCGTGTCGCCGTTTCGCCAACATGGCGGCCGCGAGGCCCGCAGCAGTGCATCGTCGTCCCACCGACGCACGCGGCCGACTCGCTTATTTAATATCGCTAACTTATTGCCGCTTGTCAACGCGGTACCCGGCGTATTTATCAACCCTCGGCCGACACTTACTCATTAGCCTAACCGAGCCTAAGCCGGATCACTGCTAACGCGCTGAACGATCGCTTATTATCAGTTTTTACGTCCCGCGGCTCATGCCGGTGCATACTTTCGCTCGTTACAAAATCGTTCCGCGATTTTGCAACCGTTCAAACGGAGGAATGCGTGCGGGGTTTAAACGAAGCCACGGACACGTCTCCTTTGTGTCCGCAACGGATCCGCAGGATCCTGTTCGTCAGATACTCGCCGATCACGCCAGCTGCGTTGGATTGCGTGCACGGCGATAATTTCGCGCATATTGATTGCGCCTTTTGTAAGGTTCCAACCGGGCTAGCTTTCATAGGCGAAGCCTATAAAAAGGGGAAAGTTATTTCAACGATTAACGGATTTCTTATGACACGATCGGATTAGAAAGATTTTTACCTTCCATCGATATAAATTCTCTTACGCATTACAATCTATAGATACCGCGAACGCGAAAAGGATCTGTGAAATACGAAGGAAAAATGACATCGGGGTAAAATAAAATGTTCTATGAGCGAAAATCGTTGAAAATTCAATCGTTCAGCCTGGATCGCCGTGCGCTTTAACATTAACAAAAATTACGACCATTTGGACGATTCGTTGGCTCGTTGCACCTCCTTTGAACTTGCAGATGCCCGGTTGCATATGCGCATACACATAAATATACATCGTCACGAGGTCCCGGCGGTCGGGAGACGTTCCCCGGATGGCGGCCGCATGAATTCTCCGTCTCCCTTTCACGATTTCATTCGGTCGTTTCGCCGCCGACGGCCGGTGACCATAGAAACGTTCTCTTCCGAAAGGAACGACGAAACGGTCGCGCTCGATGCCTTCTTCCACCGGGGGCACGGTTGTAACGTCATCGATCTTGATCGTTCGCCGCGTAACGACGCCGATTGTGCTCGGACACGATGAGCCTGAATAAACGCGGAAGAATCTGGGACGGCCTATCCGCGTATCTCTGTCATCGCCGGATACGTCGTGATAACCGATGATATATGGCCGATTGTTCGGTGAACCGCGAATCTTCGGGGGCATTCGGCTGACCCAGATCTCGCGCCACCGAATGACGGTCAATATGACACGTTACCGTTCCGCGACGTCGCGCGTGGGTTGCAATTTTTCTTGAGTGACAAATGAAAGTAATTTGTTACTCTTACGGGGACAGGCAGGAGGTGTACGTATTCATTAACTTCTGTGAAAGACGTGGAAAATCTATTGAAATTTTATTTTCCATGATTATTACTCGACGAAGTCGATGTGAGAATATTTTCATAATTGTTTATTTACCTTTCTCGATATTAAGAGGTTCGTGAAAGAATAATTCTTCTGTAGTGGTAATTAAACGCAGACTATATGGTTCGGTCAGTGACATTCCGAGGAATTTGAAAAATTCAATTTCACCGGTGGTGTGTTTCGTTCAAGCTTCAATGTAAGGGATTGAATAGAGAATTACATTGGAACGGAATTCAATCGGAGAATGTGAGTAGTTTTTGTGTGATGCAGGCGTGAAGGTGGCAGTAACAGTAGCACTGCTTGGGTGATTTCAATGCGTGGTCGAGCAGTGTCGCTGGGTTACGCATTACAAGCAAGCATTCCGCGCGAGCTATCGATTCAAAGAAGTGGACATTTTTCATCTTTCCTGCATTCATATTCTCTGAATAACTATACAGTGGCTGATAACGCCTTTCGAATTGTTATAATCGAAACATACTAAAGAAAAATACAGTTCCACACCTTCCATTAGTAGTCTAAACAATTCAAAAAAGAAGCTACCATGGAGAAGAATAAAATTGCATGAGAAATCTCGACGATCTTTATTAGCTGAAAATATACGAAAACTCAATCAACTAATGATCCGATCCAATTAATCGGAGCGCCGTGCACCGCGCCATTAGTAAACGTGGGAACACCGGACTGACTAATCAACGGAAGCCCTACCCACGAAACGTCGATCCTAGTTAACAAGGTGTCGATGAGCCTCGCCTTAATCCGAGAGTCATTACGCCGCACATAATTTGGGAATAAGATTCACGAGGTTATAGATCACGGCGATACGAGGCGTCGCTATTAGCGCGACTCATTACGGGTGTAGCGGGTGCGGAACGCGGCCAATAGGTTAGACAAGCTGCGGTGAGAGGTTTCCTCGGATTTTATCGCGGCTCGGACACGCCTAGCGTTCGATTCTACCAGTTCGCGCCTGCTCCGGACAATGTATTTCTCCCTGCGAACAAATTGATTAGTATAATACCCGCGGTAAAGGCGTATGCGCGCACGCGATCGCTTGCATCGGCGAATAAGCGAGATCGCGGTGGATCGTTCTTCCGCTTTCGCGCGAAAATGCCAAGCGGATCGCAATTCCCGCGCAATCGTCATCGATTCAGCACGACGCTCAGTCCCTAATCCCGAAGCCGCACAGAACGCTCGCGATTAATGACTTTAATTTACACGGAGCCGTACCGCAGCCGCGCCAGATTAACCGTCGCTCGATCGGCATCTTCATTAACCTTTCGACCGAATCAATTAAATCGAACCGTTCAGTTAATCTCCGCGAAGAAAACGATTTCTTCGGTGGCGGTTGTTTGTTTTTTAGCGAGGGCGCGAAATCTCGCGTGTCGGTCACGCGAGCGGCTTCGGTGACTCAGGAAAGGCACCGCTTCGCGCTTTTTAGACGGATGACACGCACACTTGTACCTGGTAGATGATGTCAGGTATCCTCTTGACGCGAGAGTGATATCGCGACGATCATGGAAAGTACCCGGCGGAAGAAGCTTCTGAAAAACCACCGTTGAAGCCTCGATCGAGCCTGGGATAATCGGCGAGACGCCAGAGAATACACAAGAGTGCTAAGGTGCCTAATGATCGTCGCGAAGGCGGAAAGGATTTTCGCGTGTTAAGGGACAAAAGTCGGCCCTGTCGATGACCGGGGTAATCGAATCGGCGAGTTCTTTGACCAGAGATCCGGGTTCAGCGAAATCAGGCGGTTCGTTGCCACGCGAGGAACGTCGATTCATTGCGATCGGGGAACGGTACGAGCTAACAGACGCGTTTTTACTGGTTGTTCCAGGTGTATCCCGGATGGCGGGGACGTCGGTTACACGATGACGGAACTGCAGCCGTCGCCGCCAGGATATCGAGTCCAGGATGAGGCCCCGGGCCCACCTTCCTGTCCTCCGGGCCCCTACAAGTACGCGAGTCACGGCCACGGGAGCGAGTCTACCAATTTCAAGAGTGCCGCGTCGTATCCTCCGGAAGGCTATGGCCTTAAGCAGAGTCCGTCTCGGACGGTGCTTCCTAACGAGTACTATCGCCGCAGAAACGACGGCAGGAGGTCCGCGGAGAACGAGCACGAGGCTCCTGGCAGCGCAGCTAAGAAAGCCACGGCTGCCGGTTACAACGAAAGTCACAAGAAGAATACTGCGGGCTACAAAAACGACAGCGGGTACGCAGCCTCCAATCAACCTTCGCTCTTCCTACCTTCTTCTCCGTTCGGCTGACTTACGGGATTTCATCCTACGGGAACGTGAATATGCCCCTTTCGTATTGGGAATATTATTTATATGAAGCTTCGTTAGTTCGGGATGCGACTTTCAGTCTGACGAGACGAAATTTTAGAGCTTATCCTTGTTCGTCTCTCGACACTTGTACCGATGTATCGAGTTTAACATATGCAAATGCGAGGAGATTGAATGGGAAGATCGATGGAAGGACTATCATCATGGACATTTGCGTATCGTCTCATCTGCAGTTCTCGCGGAGGACTACATTCCTCCGATGGAATCAATTACTTCGACCGTCCAGTACCTCTCGCCGCATGTCTCGATCGTTTTCCTCTAAAATCGGAAAAGAGCACGCGAGTTTCCATTCAGCGAGCGCTAATTGAAGCGCTTTAATCTTACTTTCATAACAACCGGTCGCTTTCCTGGCCAATGCAAAACGACGACACGAGCATGAGGGTTAAAAGCGACTATTCAGTAGAGATTTTATTTACAATATAAACGCACTTAGAGCGATAAGCGTACGATCGGGCAATAAAGTCGTAGGATCGATCGGCCTCGCGGCCGCGTTGAGTCAAGTGTTTATGATAGGATATCCCGGGCACGGCTCCTCTGAGTGTTCTACTATCTGACCGATCGAGGGTCAGTTCAGGAATCAACCCCCATTACGCGGGAATTAATTGTTCCGCTAATGAGAAACAAGTTTCCACGGTTGTTTACTCACGGTCTCTATCGGGCAGCTTTTTGCGGGCCAGATAAGAGATACCGTTTGGCAGCCAATTAGACGTTTCTGTATTAGTCCCGGCACACTTAGATTTCGCGATAGGTCGCGCGGTGCGCGCTCGCGGCATTCCGCGGCGGTGTAGCGCGTCGCTTCATCGTTACCGGGGTCCAGGAACGACGGTCGCAATTATAGCCTGATTATACGTGATTCCAGTTACGCTGAACTTGTTGACTATTCCATAAATTATGCGGCGACCACGCATCCCGGTAATAAAGTGGTTCAATGACATCGCGCAACACAGAGACCCGTTGCCTATCCGGCTACCGGGACCACGAGCGTTTTATGAGTGATTCATTGAGCTAATCCGCGAGAGGTCGCGCCCAGAGATCGTCCTCTCGGTGTCTCGAACGTGTATCGTTAAGCGTAGTCGCGTAGAACGGCGCGCCGTCCTCGGTGCGCGTCCTCCTTTATTCGCCTGCGCGTTACGACGGAACGACTCCGACTTTTAATGGACCCCATTCTCGTTTTATTATTTTCCGACGTTAACGTTAACGCCTTCACACAGCCGGGATTGCACTGTAATTTCGTATCGTCCGGCTGATGTTAATGAAAATTGATTACTTCCTCGTGTGTATCAGTCATTTGTTTATTTTCACGATATTGTAGTAACCGCGACCGGCGCGCACGGTTGATTAATTGAATAAACAGTTATTACTAGGTTGGGGATCTTTGTGCGTTTACGGCTGACAAAAATCCTCAATATTCAATAAATTAGACGTTGCTATAAAACTGGCCGCGTTCCCCGTGGAAATAAAACTCTATTTAATTCCAGTTCCTCTCTGTGTCGTTGCCAGGCGAAAATATGTATTTGCATAAATATCAGAAATTCTTCCGGGGTGATTTACAGCACGACCCCTCGTTTGCGCTGTCTCTGATTAATAATTGCCAATTAACTCGTTTGCCAGCTCCTTACGGGACAGTTAAAAATTCTAACAAAGAAAACTAATTGATTTCCTGGGCATTCGCGAGTTATGACTTCAAATAACAGCGTGTATCCAATTAATTTGACTTTCTTCGCAAAAAATCCACAATTACGGTCGTAACGTATGTATAACGTCCATGCCGGACTTCTTTTTTACTTTCCTGCGGGTAATTATTTTCATGTACAGAAATAATTGAATTTTTATGAATGCGGGATAACGGTTGATAGAGCGCGACTAAGGGATTTTTCTTTGTCGGAACAGGTACAGCGAGAGCCTCGGATTTGATAGCTTCACGCTCCCTCTCAACGAGAGAGACGAAGCGTCGCCACCGCCAACGCCTCCAGTCCGAGACGCGTCCAGCCTCAAAGGCGTCTGCTATGGGCCCGGCCACGAGAAATACCCGTCCTGGCCCAGCGCGCCGGAGAGACACCCGGACGAGGACGTTCACGGCACAGGCCATAACAGCGGATCCCATCGTTCCAAGTCCTGGACCGATCACACCAATTATCCGAAGGAGAAGCCAGCCCAATACACCAGACCGCACACGAAGAGGCCCAATCCGGCGTTCACGCAGCAGGTGACGTATCCCTTCAGTCTTCTTCTTTTCTACGCTCAGCCAGTCGATGTTCGAGAAATTTTCCATTTACTCTTTCAATTCGGATACGTGGATCGATCGATAACTAAATTACTTGAATAACTAAGGAAACTTCCTTTCATTGCAAATACACACTACAATTCTATCTATCTATCACTATTATTTTAATAACAACATCGGTATTCTGTGTTGTGGTCGCGAGTGTTACGACGATAAAAATCTTCCCAATCGGATCCACTTGACATTTATTTTCGACTAAAAGTTAAAGGGCAATAAGGGTAACTTCTCGGCCGACCCCGGTAGATCATTCCGCGCTCGCAGCGATACGTCACCGGGCCAATTACGTTTTGCAACGTAATTCGTCCGCGGACGTGTCGGTGTGGCGGGTATCCCCCTTATGTCGCTGGGCCGGTTACGAAATTGAAAACTCATTTGCAAGGAGGCGAAGCGCTTTCGACAGTGTTAACGAGTCACGAGCAAGCTCGGCCGGGCGGGGGAGAGCGCGCCCGTTCTCGTCGTGTTTCCAGCGGCCTGAAGTTTCACGGCGTCGATGGAGGAAGTTTAATTGGCCGGGAACGTGTCGCGTTAAGCATCGGGAACGGGCGTAGGTCAGAACCTTGGTAAATCGTGCTGCGCCCTAAAACGACACACATAATTAATCTCCCACACCCGCAACCCTCCTTTCTCCTCCGTGTGACATAATCGTCGTTGCCGTTGCCGGACTCCGGGCGAAGTAGGCCAGCAATTTCGTGGCAAGCACACACGAGAGAGGTGTTCGCGGCGCGGCGGGGTCAGCCCCGACCCCGGTGTCCCGGCTTTTAATTCCCGTCGTGTACGGCGAACGGATTCCATTCTTTCCAGTGGCTAGAACCACGGCGGGAGCAATGTTAATGCGCCCGTAACTCATTCGGCTTTCCTTTTGCTCGATTTAGGACTTCCTTATTAGTCGGCCGGCCGCGGCTTTTCGCCGGCCAGCGTAATTAGCTCGTTCGCCGGCGCGGTTCATTTTAAATTGAACACGCGCGATACGCTGATAGGGGTATGGGAAGAGCGTCTCGCCGTTGCGGGAGAGATGAAAAAAGGGATAAAAGGATACGCGACTTAAATCACGCTCCCCGTTGAACCCCGCGCACACGCGGGATTACGCAACGGATTACGCAGTCCGCTCGCAAATGGGATACGCGACGCCCGGAGAACAGTCACTCTGAACCGCTCTTAGAAACAACAACGATTTCGCGCGTTCCAGCTGAAGACCGTGATGGAGCGCTGCGAGAAGATCCCGGCCGAGACTTTCGAGTCCCGCAATAGGGGCAACGTGGAGGAGGAGCCGAGATTGTGGCCCCGCGTGGACCGCGAGGGCAAGGCGCTCGGCGATGAGGAGTATGTCGTGCCGTCGCCTCCCGAGCGCGAGCAACAGACCGCGCAGACCCTCAGCCACGCTGATCTGGAAGCCTACGTTAGGAGCTACCAGGATCCCCAAGTGTCCCAGGTACCAAATGCTTCTTGTACAGTGATTACTATATTTATTCGTCTTCGAAAATAGTAACTCGGTACCTGTGTTGTTTCGTTCAATCAGGAGACATAGAATAAAATATTAGTGAATGGATAAATGGTAACATTGAATTTACGTTTAGGACGGTTTTGATATTGAAAACATTATACTATCCGGGCGTTGAAATCACCAGAGTGGTACTGCTTCCCATGCGTTGAAATCTCTCGGACATTTCCTTATTAAAAGGTCGTTAAGGTATATTGATGTCGATTATTAATGAGAAACGATTCTTCTGATGCAGGTGGACATATACCGGGAGGCAACCTTAACGCAAGCAGGTCTCGAAGAGTACACAAGGGTGCAACACTCTCAGCAAGCCAGCTACGCACAATCCGAAGGCTATCACAGTTATGTTTCCAGCGTGGACTCTACAACGAACACTCCATTCCTCGACAGGTATTACCAATCTTCAAAATTCTTTTTAACCAATTTTCTTTCGTGACTCTTACGTTAAAGCTCCAACTGTTTTTGAGATTATCGAATATGATTCGATCGTTTGCATAAATCGATTCTGTTTCCAGATTGCGAAGAGACAGCGAAGCGGTTGCACAGAGGCCAGCCTCGACCTGGGAGGATACATCCAGGGAGGGAAGAGACAGCGTGGTAACCACGTCAAGCGGAAGCGCTTCCAGCAGCGAAACCTTAAAATGGCACGGCTCCATGTCAGATGTTAGCGTTTCGAGCGGCTTGCCAGCACGACAAAGTACATCTGACCGATGGCACCATGGCTCGATGTCGGACGTCAGCAGCGTGAACGGCGGAATTCTGCCTCAGAAGTCGAGCAACGGGTGTCACGACAAATGGCAGGGCTCGATGAGCGATGTCAGCAGCACTGGCCTTTCTCCGACAACGAAAGGCAGACACAGCGAGAAATGGCCAGACAAGTGGCAAGTTTCAATGAACGACCGTAACAAACAGAATCAGGGTAGATCCAGTTTGCCAGCCGTGATCAGTCACTGCAGCTCGTCAACCAGCGTGGCTGATGTTTCTACGGTACGAGAGAGCAAATGGCAGGAGTCCAACATCGACGAAGAATCTCTAGACAAGTCACAGACCAGCTCTGAATGGGATGGTTCGATGAGAATCGAAAGCGATAAGTACGGATCACTGGCGCAGCCAATGCCGCAGAGTCCGATTCGTCAATCGATCGGTCCAACGAGTTCACAGAGTCCAGAAACATGGAACCCGATCCACGGGTCCATGTCAGACGTTAGCCAGGCTAATGGGCTCTCATGTAGCAAACAGCTGATCGCTCATAGCGCCAGAGTGCAGACCCCACAGAGACATCACTCGGAGAGCGTGCTGTATTTGGACCGTGAGAGGAACCAACGGAAATTGTACCCTGTCAGCACTACTCAGCCTCAAGAATCCACTCAGTCTTCAAGGTATTACGTTGATTGAATGAAATATTCTTTCCTTCGTAAATGGGTAAATCAAAGAAGAACTGAACATTTATCTTAATCGAGTATTCTATAATCCGTTATAACAATTTACTTTATATCCATATATGGTACAATCTTCATGTGTCATTAATCTTTCTCTTTTCAGGATGTCTTCAACGCTGTCCCAGCAGCCGCAGATATCAGTGGCGGAGCGCATCAACGAACTAGAAAAGCAGCAACAGCAACAGATGCGTTACACCTACTTGGACCCAGAGAAACGACATCGAGTCTCCGATCCAACGCTGAAAGCCATACAAAAGAAAGCATTGCTGTCTTTCTACGAGAGACACCACCAAGCCTCCTGGCGGTCTGAGCCGCAATTAGCTCAAGGAACAGCTCCTGCTCCGCAGAGTCCACCGCCGCAACCTCCACCTCGTCCCAGACCATCATCCTCCAGACGAGCCAGCTCTGCATCTGATTATGCCAGCGGCGCTTGGCGAGAGAGTGCAAACAGGAGCCAGAATCAGGGTAACGGAGACTTGCCCAGTCCCAAGCATCAGCACAGCAACAGCTGCGGCAGTCTGTCCACGGATTTACTGGGTCCTGTGATAGTTGGTCCTGCTATATCGATCGATGACTGGGTACCAGAGAGACCGCCTAAGAAGCCACACCTGAGAAACGTCTACAACGATCGTGTGCCTAGCCCTGACTTGCCACCGCCATCTCCCCCAACGGTCACTGAAAACGAAGTACACGATTGCGACGATCCACTGCCACCCCCGCCACCCGAGCTCAGCGACGATTGCTTCACGGACACCCAACGGAAGTCCAATCATCACCAGGATGAGTCCAAGGCTCGTGACAGATCCTGCGACAGACACAAACTGGAGAGACACTCGATGAGAAGATCGAAGCATGGCCCTAAAAGGGAACACGAGAAGCCTTCGGGAAAGTCATCGCCTAACTCTCCCACGAAAACGCCTCAGGAGCCAGACCATCAGTTCGTGAGAGCCACCATCGCGCTGAAACACGCAGAGTCCGAGATGGTACTGGAGAACGGTGTCTCCGCTGGCTTCGCCACTCACAGAATGGTAGCTACAGGTCGATCCAGTCTGAGATACCCCTCGACTCAGAAGCTGATGGTGAATGGAAGAGTGACTCCGGCGAGAAGAATATCAGAGGAGCGGTCCTTCTCGAACAGACCCCCCGCGCAGCTACCTGATCTCATATCGCAGCGATACAGCGATTCCGGGAACCAGCGGCCGGCTCCTCAAGTGCCAGTCGAGCCGAGGATCATCCGACAGGAGTCCATGAGAGTGGACGGGTCCAGACTAGACGTTTCCGGATTACTTAGAAACGAATCCTCCCAGAGACACGAATCATCCTCCGGACAGAGACCTCAGCCCCAAGTGCCCAAGAATATCGACAAGACTTCCTCGAGTAATCAGTCGAATCAATCGGTGAGACCAAATTACTTGCCAGTTCCGGAGAACTCGAAGAGCGCCGCCAAGTATCTCGAGACCGGGAATCACGGTTTCTCGATCGGCAGCCCAGTGAAGACGGGTTACGAAGCGAACTCGAAGATGTTCCCGTCGGAGTCGAGCCCCCAGAAGTATCACGAGCCGCCGAAATACGTGCCGAATCATCATCAGCGCCACGGCGACGTGACGCAAAGGAATTATTATGCGCTTCCGCCGAAGTACATCGACGCGCCGAAGCAGAAACCTCAGCCGCAGTGTCCCACGGACAGGTACAGCGGCTCGGGATCGCCGAGTTCCCCGCCGCCGCCTCTGGCGCCACGGCAGAACACTCCGGGCAGGAAGTCGCTGCCGCCACCGCCGCGGCCCGCCCCTCCGCATGCCATTCAGGGGTAAGTTTCACGACTTTCCATTCCATCTAACCATTCCGCGGTGCTCGTCACATTATTCTCCGCGACGTTTATTTCGTTGCACAATGTTGCGAGCTGCGAGAATGCCTTCGAAGATGATACGTGTCAAAGACACCGGCGCGATTTTTGGGGAAGTTTTACGAGGCGCCGCCTCTCGGGACGCGTTTCGCAATCCGCGAGGATCTCCCTCCGGGTATTTGTTTAACCGGTCGTCAATTAGAGATCTCGAGGACCGGGACGGTTGTCAACGGCCAGCTTGAGCCGCGGAACGCACACGGTCCTGTAATTGCGGCGTAATTGAATGGTAAATGGCCGGTACCTCTGAGGTACGCGAGCGCACATTCTCCCGGTGTTGTCGATAAAACGCTTATTAACGACCGGTAAGATCGATAGATCGGGAAGAGCGGCGCAACAACCCTCCAGCAACCCTTTAAACACGTTATTCCAGGAGATACTACCTAGAAGGAAGAAAAGAAACGAGGATTCCTGTCGATTTATTGGACGGCCGACGATTCGAGATGAACGGTACGGTAAACGGCGCTTTCAGGAGTTAGTTACGGTACCGATGTTCGCCATTGTTTCTCACGATTCCTCGGGGAAAAATGGCGGACAGGTGTTTACAGTTCGCTCGAAGAATAACCGATTCGACGGCGCAGTTCGAATCGATGATTGTTCCGCCGTTCGGATAAGCGTCGCCGGCAGATTATCGGCTATGAAACTGAAAGAGCGGTCTCGATTTTTCCGTGCACCAGTTTAAATCCGCAAACTCGTAAATCCCCGGGGATCAAGGCCCCGATAGTTCGGCGAACTCCTGCTCCGCTCACAGCCAGTCGTTAATTATTTTCTCGTTCGCCTCGCTCGACCGAATCGCATGCATTACCATCGGATTATCATTGCAAATCTAACGGTGCCCATTACCGCCGCTGATTTACGAGTGTGTGACTTTCCCTGAATCGCGTCCGGCGAGAGTCTTAAACGACATCGTCGCTCGGGCCCCGCGGAAACGTTTATGATACACAGTTTCAATTAAACCGCGGTACATCGGTAAATTCCGCGTTGCAAGATCACCGTCGTTCCTCCCTGCCGCGAACCGGCCGCGCGATGCTCGTTTTGCCGTGTCCCTAATGCGAGCCACCCGCTTTTTGCCCGGGATCGCGGCGGGCTTAGCGCGATCTACTTACGGGAATATACGCCATAATTCGTGGACTTCGTGTGTTTATGCTCGAGGAAGCTGTTCATAGGTATCGTAGGATTAGATTAATTCGAGAAGACACAGGTCAATGGAAATTTATTCGCTGGGGACTTTCGTATCAGCGGCAGGTGGTACCGGATCTAGCGTTATTCGAGTTATTTCGAATAAGTATCGACGTTCACGGTAATTGGTCGGATAAAGTCTTGTTACTCGGATTCTCAACCCGGATAATAGTTACCGATCGTGCTCCACAAATTATCCATCTAATTATGCCGGCGATTCGTCTTCATTTCGAATAAATCGCGTCATTTTTAATGGACCTACACTACACCTATCGAAACTAACGGGACGTTTGCTCAACAGTTAACGCAAGCACCTCGACTAACGAATACATAATTATTAACAATTCTGTTGGAGACTAATTTACTAAAATCTAAATTCTCACAAAGGGAGTGAACGAACTATGAAAACCTTCCATGTATTATTAAACTTCTTCGCAGCAAATCCTCGCATTAAATGCCAGAAACAATACCACGCTGAACAATACTCGAACGCAGTTACATTGCTACCAGCATAAAAATCCTACGTGCGGCTCGAAGAATCCAGGGCTCGAGATCCTTTTTCTCACGATAAAACGTCCTTAACGTATCAGACACTCCGATCGACGATGCAAATGATCGGCGGTCCCACGCGCCGGTATGTCCATCGTAAAAAGCGGAAAAACTCGGGCAAGGACGATACGCCGCGAGAGACGCGTTCGATCGGGAAACGAGGAGCAGCCGAAGCCGTTCCGTGACCCGGCGCGACGCCTCTTTGTCCATCGGGCCGTTTTTGGGTCAAGAGACGTTCACCGAGTCGCGGTTGCGGGAATCGAGACGGTCGAACGTAATAAGGCTGAAGGGGGCAATAAGAGCAACGTAGGCAACAAGAGAGGAAATTAACGATGGATTAATAATAATTCCACGGTCACGGGCGTCCCGAGGATCCCCGTGGCAGCGGAGAAGGGAGCTACAGGATGTAGGCTCGATCTCACGGGGCGATAAGCCGTTTCACCTTTCTTTTGTTTCGTTCTCGCTCTGATTGGGTGACCAGCTGGCTTCTGTGACGGTCGAGCGGTCCTCCGACTGCTCGAGACGGAGGTTCCGACCTCGGGACACGGTTCGCGGAGCAAACGCTTCGACCTTCGACAGGAAGGGAAGACGGGAGAGAACTATAGAGGAGACAGCAGAACCATTTGCTAGTCGATTCGTTTTTCTTCTTCTTCTTCTTCTCTCTCCCTCCCTCTCTCTCTTTCTCTTTCTCTCTGTCTCTTTCCCTCGTCCCCGTCTTCGTTCGGGAGTATTCAAGCCCGCGAAGACTTAACCTTTCGGTCGAACCGAGCCACGAGGCAGAAAATGTCAGAAAAAAGGTTACCCGCGTGGCACCAGGGGCGTGTTGGCCTGTTCTTCGCCGCTCGATTATGTTCGCCGCGTTCTCCGCCGCGCTGGAGGAGTTGAACGCGTGAGAATTTTCGTCGACCGTCCCGTCGAAACTCTTTCTCGATAACAGGCCGCGGTTTATCGGCCGGTTACATTTGCGGAACGGTGTCGTTTCTGGTTCCCTCGTCACGGCGGCGAGCGGAATCAGCGATACCCGAGGAATCGCGTGATTTACTCGTCCCCCGATATAATCGGCGTCGCGCGGAGCGCAATCGTAAAAATCCGCTGACACGGATCTCGTTCGAGCTCGGTAATCTAATCGCGCAAATTGCCGCGCGATTGCCGCTCGATTCTCGACGCTTCTTCTTAACCCTTGCGATTTGTTTCGCGGCTGAACACTTTCTTGCTGATTATCCGACGGGGTTCCGAGGGATATGTTCATTGTAAAAGCGAATTTATTGGATAGATCGAGCGTTTATACGGGCGATGTTTCTCTCTTTCATTGAGTACCGTATACCTAGTGAAATTAAGGGGTGAAAGGCGGCAGTCATAATTAAAAACCGCCGCAGGAAATTCAAGTAGCTTTTAGCGAACCGTGCCTGTCGGCCGTGAGTCGACGACATCCGAGGAGAAAAATGCCGGCTCGAATTTACAGTCTTCCCCGCGAGAAATTACACGACCGCCCGCTGCTTTATCGCTAATTCCCATTACACAAATATCCCAGCTTTTCATCGCGTCGAGTCCGGAGCATTAATTGGCTCTAGGATTCATGGCCCGGCGTAAATCGCGTCACGCTAATGCTCTTCGTCGAGGAAGAAGGTTCTGCTTGAAGTTTATGGATTATCGCTCCGTACACGGTGTCCCCGAAATGCTGGGTCGAGTCCCGACTCTGAGGAAGATGGAAACGTGACGCGTAAACAGGCGGCCCGCGAACGTTTCCCTTTTAACTGTGGCTGTTTACGCGTCGGCCTGCACCAATTTACGCGCCACCCACGCTCAATGATCAGAATTACACGCGATTCTCGGAAAAAGAGCCGCGTGCGTTCGACGGTGTTGCCTTGGGAACGCGTCGTCAGATCTGGCACATGATTGACGTACGCGGTTGATCCCGTTTCTGATCTGGTCTGCTTTAATAAGACTATTCTGCGGCCGGGATGAAGATAGATGGCCGACGAAGGTCAACGCGCGCATCATCGGTCATTATTCCTGCCTTATAAAATGGCGGAAGTGTGGGGACGCTGAATGGATATACTGGGAGTAATGAAACCGTGAATCTTATTAGTCATTAAAGAAATTGTACGAATTTATAAACGTAAATCTTGACGTCAACGACTTCTCTTCGAGTAAGTTTCAAAAAGCGTTGTGTTTGTCTCACCAGGAAACGTTGAATAGTTCTAATGAAAAGTTTTCTAGTGCAATGGGTAAATCGGATCTGACAAGGTTCTAGTAAATAAATGGAGGCAGTTAAATTTGTATCGTTGGATCGGTTTATTAGTTACGAATAAAAATGACAAAGCACCGTGCCGAGGCAATGAGACATGGCGAGAGTAGCTTCTCAGTAGTCATCGAACCAGTAACAAATTCTTTATCCATTTAGCTCTCGAAGCATCGAAGTGCAGACGAAGCTACTTAGCGGTGCTATGACAATCCACCGACCTAGATCAGCCTTGTTCCCCCATTTTCTGTCATTTCCATCATTCTTGCTCTTCCCTGGACTCGAACAGAACTCGTTTCGCTCGAAACACCTGCGGCTGTATAAAGGCAAGACCGCGACCTCAACGGGGTAGCCAACGGCTGCACCGGGTATCGCTTGACACCGGTTGCTGTACGCCGTTCCTCCTTCTCTCAACCAAGTCGGGTGATATCGTGTAAGGCTATAGCTGGAGAAGAAAAAGAGGCGCACGCTGGATCGTATTATCATACGACGGACAGCTACGGCTCGTCTGATTTCGTTGCGCCGTTCCCTACGTGTCGCCGAGAAGGTTGTTTCTCATTCTTTCGAATGCTCCGACGAATTCTTCATTCAAATTCAACGTAATAGCATTTTGTTTATCGTTCATCGAGGATCGATTAAACCATCCGCGAAGTAAAAATAAGGTTTCAGATAAAATCGATCGATAAGATTATATAAGAATGTTAATACCATTGTTTTTTTCCTTGAGCGTCATATTATCGAGTCCACTTAACACCGAATGGCATTCATGACACAGATACTAACCATTATACGTCGTTTAATTTCAAAACTTGCGTATACTCTGCAAACAAGGAATAAGTATTTATTGCCTCGGCTTAGTCGATCTTTATTTCACGGATTAGTCACAAATGTTTAACGCACAATTGTACCGCGATCCCAGTATCCTTCATAAAGTATC